CAGGCAAACGACGCTGTTTTGGAGACACTGGAGACATTTTCTAAGGCGATCGTTTACTCCGAACGGCAGAGATTTGCCGTTAGTCAACGTGTTCGGCAACTCGACTACATGCGATCGTACATGTGACATCCTTGTCCGTGCAATGTCTTACGTGACAATGCAGTATAGGCCACATAACAGTAATAGTTCGCTTATATGTTCATACGATTATGATGTAAAACAAAAGCTGTATATCTCTTCCTTATGTGGCCTCTCGTTCCCAGCAGATTGTTTCTTCATTCAGGGCAGACATATGGGTATAATGCACACATTGGGCTTTTTCCATATGGCATGAGACAATTACACAATTTTATGGTATTCTCACTGGAAGAGGTGTTGCTTTATAAATGGCTATGAACAAATATAATGATAAAATTTTCATTTGTATTGAATGCACACACAGATAAATTAATGTCACCGAGAGGTTACAGAATTTTACTCTTACTAAGCATGAACGAAACTTTATTTGTAGTTCAGAAGAAGTATTGGAAACGAGAATACATTATTTGGTTCAAATAAGAGGCAATCACATCTGTAGTGTAAAAACTACTGCCATAAGCCTCACTAGGTAAGCTGAACCTCACGAGTTTGAGTTATGGCCAGGCACATTTTATTTTATGAAAAAATAAAAAAGTAACAAAGTAAATATTGCGTTTGCTTTTCATTTGTGTGTGTTATTTAATCACACAAGCCTCACTTTTCCAATCTTCAGTTCCCATAACAGGCACCTTGACATTGGGCTGTGGGAAAAAATTAAGATCATGTCCGTGTCGATATTGAAGATCTATATTAAAAAGGTAAAGGTACAGGCTTGCAATTGTTGGCTCACATCACTGCTGCCAGAAGGGTCTGCACTCAAAGGAACTATAAAGAGCCCCTCTATTTAATTGTTTTGGCCTGTGTGTTCTCTGTGCTGGCCAGATGTGTTGGAGGAGGTGGGAAGGCCCACACTTGACCTCACCACAAGCAACCTGCTAATTGACTATACGATGTAACCTTTTATACCGCTGGGTTCACAGCAGCGGGAGGATTTAACAAACTTGCCTCTTGTTGTTGTTTCACTTGCTGTGTCGCGGGATCAAACTAGCAGCCTCTGGATTACGAGTTCGTTTTGCGAACTGCCAGTATCACTGAAAGTGTATACAGTAATCCCTCGCTACTTCGCGGTTCAAGTTTCGCGGCCTCAGTGCATCGCGGATTTTTTGAACTGATTTAAAGGCCTCATTATACCTGTGCAGTAACACCATCATCATCATCATTCATCATCACATTCATCGAACTGCACAGGTCTGTCATCGTCGTCATTGTCATCGTCATTGTCATCGTCGTCGTCGTCATTACTGGAGTCAAGTCTCAAAATTCTACTGTCATTGGTGAGTGTAGAACACCATAATACGTATCGTATGAGAGAGAGAGAGTGAATGTATAATATTAAGGTTTTATAATTAAATAGATTTATGTAAAAAATATATATATAAAGTATAAATATACATATTTTAAACATTCTGGTACCCACACACACATATACGGAAATTCCTAGGGGGCCAATCCTACTTCGCGGATCTTCACCTATCGTGAGGGGTTCCGGTCCCCATTAACCGCGATAAACGAGGGATCACTGTATTCTATTATCATCAACAATAGTAAACCCACTAATGAATAAAGACCTCCCCAAGCCACCACCATCTCTCGTGATCTCACGATGCAACAATAAACACAGCCACCTGCCCATTCACTGATTCATTACCCCATGCCCTTGCTGGTCATTGTCACGGACATATTCCATTCCTTCTTGACCATAATTTGCCATCCCTGTTCGCGTGATATCTTGCCCAAGCCCAATGACTTTTCTTCAAAGTTTGGATTATATAATTGACCTCTGTAAATTTCTCTGATTCACGCGTGCCTCTGTTTCTCAATGCAGTTTCAAGCATGCATCTCTCCATTCTTCTTTGCGTACATTTTAGCTATTGTTCCATATGTTTCATTCATGACAATGTTTCTGAATCATACGTTAGGTATATTCCTTCCGAAATTAGAAAGCCACTGGGACGATGCACTTTTAAATCGAGATCGAACACGAATGTCTTTACAGTTGCTTTTTGTGTTTAGTTTGTTGACCTTCCCTCGCACCTCCAATTGGCACGGTTGGCTACGCACTGTACAAAAGAAGCTCAACATACATACATACGTCATAGCAGATAGTACACGGTCTTTAAAAACTTTATTTTGTTCAGACACACTGGTATGTTTATTTTCAACTTCAGCATTCCAAGAGCACCCTGAAATGCTCACGTCCAAAATCTTGACTTAAAGCTTTCGTGACTGCAGGAATTCATATGCTTTGGGTCTTTTGGTAAAGCCACGTAGATAGGTTCAAAGAAAATAACAAAAATAACTTTTGTTTATCTTCTTTGAACCTTTCTACGTGACTTTACCGAAAGACCCAACGAATATGCTCCCGTCCACCTTTTCATCTAATCTTTATTGCTCCTGGTCACCTTTTAAGAACCGTGCCAAGTACACTCACTCTGTGCCGTGTTTTACAGTTGGGTCCCTCTGAAAGATGTATACAATTATTTAGCGAACTTCTGTTTTCCTCTTTGTATCTCGAGTCAAACTGCTCAGCCTTCATTTAATTAAGTTATTTTGTCATTTCCCGCAGCGTATTACATAAAAATCACAGCCAAAGCAGGCGATCTGATGACCTGCCAAGTAAATACGGTAAAACCCTTAATAGTGAAGTCATGGCTAGCCGGATTACACATGAAGCCAGATCGAGGTCGATAATTACATAATAATTCAATGCAACCGTCCCGCGCCACAGTAATGCACACACATGCAGTATTTTTCATGCCATCCCGTAGCTCTGTACACCTCCATGTAGCCCTATCTAGTGCCCAGTGTTTAAGTTTGGCTCCAACAGATGAACACTACGCAATCAGTGGGCAATTGAATAGAACCCTCCTTGAAAAGTCCACCGCCAGGTTTCAACAGGGGGCAGGGCAACGTTGTTTCATTCTCCCTCATACGAGAGAAATATGATTTCAATCCACTCACAATTGCTCTTGCACAGCGATGGGAGCGATACTCCAGCTTGTCTCTTTCTCAGGAACCTCCGATTCGCACGTTTGGCTATGTCCGGTACGAAAGAACTTAAACGTACATACACGCGTACAGGAACGAGCCGTATAGACCGTACGCCAGAGGTCACAACCGGGTACCCGATACCCGTACCCTACCCGATACTCGGCTACCCGTACCCAGCCGGGTACGGGTACGGGCAGCCATTTGCGACCCTGGTACGGCCGGGTATGGGTACGGGTAGGCCGTGAGTCACTGGTAAGTAACCGTTTGTCACTCATTTCGGGTAGGGTACGGGTAGGGAACGGGTACCCGTACTCGGCCGGGTACGGGTACGGGTACCCATTTGCGACCCTGGTGCGGTCGGGTACGGGTACGGGTAAGGAATCAAAACCCGTTTGCGACCTCTGCCCTACGCTGGGTTTGTCTCGTGACTTCTGACGAGGGACCATTCACTACTTCACGTGGCCTCAAAGTGTACCTAGGTTGGAACAAAAGCCATGCGTATCTGTGTGAGTGTGTGCATGTTATACACACGCACAGAGTTTAAAAAAATACATTATACCTACACGATATAACTGGGAAAAAAACTTTTTTATGAATCATAGATATACGTGAGGTATGCAATTTTGACAATATGTTGAAAGGAAAAAGTCTTTAGGTAGAAGTAAATAGGAAAATCTTGAGCCACAGGAGCAGGGAGTCGGTGGCACGGATGGCTGGAAGGGAATTCGAGACCACGGGGGCGGCACCAGAACGAGTGACGTCCCATTGGACGCAGATTGTTGACAGGTCTTTTGAAATAAGGTGCCGGAGCGGGGACCAGGTGAAGGCAATTAGAGAGAGATGAAAGGGCAGAGAAAGGTTGGGCAAGTCTGTGGGTTGTTGTGTTAATAATACCAATTATTCACAGACTTTTTGTCAAGTCACTAATTGGTTGAAGGCCTTCCCACGCCGTATGAGCCACGGGGATTGCTTGAATAATCATCACCATGCCGATCAGTGTGGGTTGGTGAAGGGTGTCCAGGACATGTTCAGATCTCATTCGCCACTGATATTGGCTGTGGCTTGGAAATTATCTCAAATCACCGGATTCGTAGTTTCGTGCACTTGCCACTGCACTGTTCCTACACCCGTGCAATAGATTATACGTTCCCTTTTCTGCCTGACAGGTTACTTTGCAACTCTTCCAGTTGTAAAACTCGGTCAGTGTGACTTCATATCTCATCCCTAATGTATTATGAATATCGATCGCACAGCCAAAACACAGTGTTAATACAATTGAGAGTGCATTTAGTGCATTATCCAGTAACAATGGGGATCATTCAACTTCATGAACATATTCTAAAACGGATACAATTGACACTTTACCCATAACTATTCCCTTACAGAAAGCGTTGTTTAAGCTGATCACAATTTCTTCACAAATCAAATGGTTTGTATGCTTGCTGGAGTGTTGATAATGTTGAATAAACTGTTGATCTGTTAAGCATTAGCAGATGCGTCTTTTTGTGGGCCTTTGCGACTTCATAAGACCTTAAAGCACACATAGTCTAATCCTGATAATACTGTAGAGATATCCCTACCAAGTTGTAACAAATCATGGTTAGCATTGTGTCTGTATATATTGTGCCCAATCCAATACATAGCTGTACGTGTATGATTTGGCAATTGTTTATTAAAAATGACACTTTCTGCAAATGTACAAATTCGGGCAGTTAACGGTGGGTAAAATAAAATAATTCGTTATTTCTTTCTTTTTTACCATTCCTTATGTGGACAGACACCATAAATCAAGCCGTATATGATTTGCTCCCTGATGCCGCAATGCTGCCGAGTCTGCAGACCCACGCTGTGTCTTCTGCCTTTGCATGCAGGGAGCATTCTGAGGGCGGAGGTGAAGGGGCTGCAGGGCTCAACGCGTTACTTCTTCAGGCTTGGCGCACGAACCGTCGTGGGGGGCGGGCCATACTCGCCCGTGCAGGAGGTGAACACTCCCTCCACGGGTGAGTCGGCCGTCTGCACGCACAATGTGACGCACCGTGCTCAAGGCTGTCACATTTCTGGGAGGCTCCAACCGACACTCACGTTGAACTAACTTTAGAACTGTCAGCCCCACCTACTTTTATGTTAACCACGTCCACAAAGCCACTAGCTCCGCCTGCACAGAAAGCAGACTCGCTCTTTCTCAAGTTGGCCGCACAATTATGCTCATTGGCCCCGCACACTTCTCTGCCAACCCCTCCCAGTACCCGGGTACCCCCCCCCCCCACCACGCCTACCACCCCACCCCCTTTCCCAGTATCATGGGTTGAACAAGAGGCCAGAAAATTTTGAAGTGGGAGGTGTCCTTCATTGGCCGCCCATGTTCCCAAAGCTCCTCCCTGCAGTTTCATGAGCCCGGCCTGCACACAGGGACGTGCAAACAACGCACATGCATTTCAGCGGGTTGCACTGTGTGGTGTGCGTGTGTGCCAGGCCCACATTTTCAAAAGTGTATCTGGCTCAATTTTCACAAAAAGCTTCAGGACACTGAGACATCCTTTCTGAAACCCAGACTGTCTGGGGGAAAGCAGGAGGTTTGGTAACCTTAACCATCTCACCTGAAGACTGGCCGCTTGTGTTGCGACCGAAACGTCGTGTTTTCTTTTACTATTTTTTCTATCCACGTGACTTTACCGAAAGAACCAGAGAGCATGGATTCCTGCGGTCACGAAAGCTTCAAATCAAGACTTAACCGTCACTTCACCACTACCGAAGATATGAATAAGCTTTGGTTCTCTACTGCTAAGAGTTTATTTCGGAGTGCGATTACAAGTTTATATGTACTCACCACCTCTGATAAGCGCTGTTGGCTATGTACGGTGCGAAAGAAGTTAAACATATATAGAAAGATTTATTTATCAACAACACTGCTTCATAGTGGTGTATTGATTCACCACAACCCTCTACACTGGTGATTCGATTAATTATTGTGAGTCTGGTCTTCGATTCAATATTAAGAATGGACTCTTCTTTGTTTTACTTTTCAAATATTGTTTTTTTTTATTATATTACAATAAAAAGGTGGACCAGAGACATTCATAGCCATGCTGCTCCCGGATAAGTAGCAGTGAAATCCAGAAGAAGTGTTTCCACACCACGTGTGGCAATGGATGAATCATATTTACACCCTTTGTATTGAGAAACTCGAGGTTAGATTATTTGATGGACACATCATGGATAACTTACGTGAGGAAAATTGTGAGTGGGCTTCTGTGAGCAAAGTGACGATCTCAGTTGCGTGGCATGTAGAAGAAATCACCGTGGTGATTTAGAACATATAAGCACCGTGATAACAGTGCAATTCCTATATATGTATCAAAGTAATTTTCTGGACAAATCAGCATTTAGGCAATGTTCATATCCTGTTTACATCTCTGAGTCAGTGTTCGGAAATTCTACATTCATATGGTGGGGTCGAGTCTATACATAGAACAACCACTGCTAACTTCCCCACGAAGTATATCTATTTTATCGACCCTGGAGGAATGATGGGCTGAGTCAACCCCCAATCGGAATTTGTACTCACAACTTTTAAATTGTCAGCCACTCGCTCTACCGCTGAGCCACCTGGCCAGGTTATCAAAGAATAGGAGTGGAAATTTGAGACGTGCCATGCTGTTTGACCAGGACAACACGAGATCACACGTCTCCAGTTTCAGTAGCAACCATTCATGATGCCACAATTTAATTGGTCAGTCACCACCCCACGTTTCCACAGTTCGAAATAGAAAAGAAAAATGACTCGCGGAGAAATCAGTTTTCTACCGAAATTGATGGGATATGTTCCGTGAACCATTGGTAAAGATTAAAGTGTTGGGACGTCAATACACCCAGAACATTGCAGGTTCAAAAGGAATACAGTATGTAGAAAATTGCACCTTCCATTTTAACAGTCATTCATTGCCTTCTGTCACGCCACAGACTTTTCAATCACTCCTAATCTGAATTGCTTTTGGAACACATTTAATGCCAGTCTTGAGACATAGGGTTGTTTATTGATCTTTCAAAAAAGTCAAGTCAAAGTGATGTTTTTGATCATTTGAGGATTGAGGAAGTGTCTTGGTTTACAGCCCTAAGCCAGTTGTCAAATTCCATATTCCTACGACAGGGGGAAGTTAATTCATGACCACCCATGTTGTCTTCCCCACAGTGTAATACTAATTTTATTGACCCCAGAGGGATGATAGGCTGGGTCAACCCCTCACCAAGTCGTTTAACTCGCAATCTACCGATTGTGAGCCACTCGCTCTGCTGCTGAGCCACCTGGTCGGTTTATAGTTGTTCACGCCGAATGCTCAATAAGTCACTGCAGACTTTTGGATGTCTCAAGTTTAGAGCTGGGCAATGCGAGGGTTGTCAACAGGCGGCATGAAACTGACGAGTTGCATGATACCAGCGTGTGGGTGCGGTATAAATGGTACCATGTATTTATAAATGTGTGATGTGTGTCTGTATCAGCGGTAGTGTAATTTATGTTGTTAAACACACGTTCAAATGGTAGATGGAGGAGTGGTAACAACGCGTGCTTCAAAGCAGGAAGTCGCTGTGTTTGATTCCCGACTCAGGCGACTTTCTGTGTGGTGTTTTTAGTATGTTCTCGCTGATCTGCAGGGAATTCCTGCGGGATCTAAGGTTTGTTGATAAAAGCAGGAAAAACACGCGAAATGTAACTGGTATTGGCCAAACATTCCAATACTGAACAATTACCTGCGAATTACTCAATTGGAATTACACATCGCAACATTACCCATGACAGCGAACAGTCGGTAGGACCATCCTGAACAAGAGTACCAAGACGGAGTGAGGCTTTCCTGGGTAAACAAACGTAATGAATAATAAAATAATGAATGCATGAAACACACAGCGTGTCCATAAATGCATTGGTCATGATTAAATCATCACAGTGAGTCTGGAATTCGAACGAGGACAATGGGAACTGCACGCACAAGCAGTTTATTACGTGAATATTTTATTCCACGAGTTTCATCCCTCCGAACCTCTCCGTATGCGCCATCGTGTTGGCAACACACATCAAGTGAAGATTTATGAGGAGTGGTAGTGTACTTAGCCTCAAATGAGTTCCTTGTGTGGTGTGTGAAATATCGCCACTAGAGAGACAAAGGCGGCCGGACGTGGTGCTGGCAAACCACCCCCTCGTGTGCCCGTTCCGGCCTTCATGAGTGCTCGTTAACATCACGTGCCCCAACAGTCTGTTAAGGCTATACGTGGCATATTTGTCTTTGTCTTTGTCATCATAAGTACATTTGCACACTCGAGTATGCTGGGCACACCTCAGGGCTTGAACCAGCCTCACCCAGGGCTGGGATTTATTTGCTGCCATCACAACGTCACATGGCAGTAACTTCGCGCAGCAACTTCTGTTTCAGGAATCAGAGCTCTGCACAGCAGAAGCATGTGCGCCACGTATTCCGTGGTGTGAAAGACGTTGAAAACCGCTGGATAAAACCAGAACAATGTTCTTGATGTAAAGTTGTCAATGTAAACTTTTTTTTTTCGGCCGCAATTTTCTTTCGATACAAAAAACAACCCCTATCCTTATTCGTCTGGTCGTCAAGGGAAATAATGTGGATGATTTAAACGCTTAAACGTACGTTGTCTAAAACTACGTTGATTAACTTACCCTCAGTAAATCGTAGCCCCATTTTCATTCTGCGACTGGGCGAAGGCCTCGCTGGACCGTGTCAGTCAGTGGAGTTTGTTTTCTGGTTAGGGGAATTTTTTGAAGAGGAAGATTTTCCTCTTTTCCACTGATATTAGTTGTGGGTTGGAATTTGATGCATAGTGCAATGTGCTAACCACTCTCACAAAAATGTAAAGTGCACCTTAAAATGCTGTAGAGCATGCTGCTGCAATACATATTGGTTTGTTGCACGCAGACTGGCTTTTAAAGCATTTGTAGTCAACACGAATTAGTGGGCCACAATACACATGCGGGTAAAACATTCTGCACATATAAATATTGTACAAAACAACTGCTCGTCAAACCAAATCAACGTTTGTATCCGTGCACTTCTTATAGTGCAAGGCTATCACGAAGGCTGCTACGTGGTTTGACCCAGTTGGGCAGTTTGCGAGAAATGTTCAAATTTGACAAATTTGGAGCGTGACGCCCACACACGTGGCTAACCTTTTCTTCGATGAACATCACATGAGCCTTAACGTCCACTGTGAAGCAGATGGCATGCATATTCATATTATTTCATACACCCCTCAGTATTAACCAGGGCGGCCGCTGGGCTTAAACCACGAACCTGTGCAAACAAGCGACACACGAGCTCCTCCATGTCAGCACCCCCACAAACCTCACTGGAAAAAAAAAACACACAAATCACCAAACACTACAAAAGACGTTTGATTCTCGCTTTTAATCATCGACGCATGCGGCTTGTTTCACAGGCATCTTCTCAAGCACCAGCTTGCACCTGTTGGTGGGCGTGATGGCTGGCGTGTGTGTGACACTGGGCGCCTCCGTTGTCTGTGGCATACGCCTTCTCCACCATCACAAAGCACGGCAAAGGTACCTCCAGGGCTGCCGCTCTTAAGCAGGAATGCTGTGAAAATATTACATGCTCCGTTGTACTCAATAAATCAATGTTCTATAACGAGATGAAACACATCTTCTGTGGGTTTTTCGGTAAAGGCACGTAGATAGAACAATAAAATAATGAAAGAAATCACGAGGTTTCGATCGCAACACAAGCAATCGTCATCAAGGTTGTGTTGCGATCGAAACGTCGTGATTTTTTGTATTATTTTCTTGTTCTATCTACGTGACTTTACCGAAAGACCCAACGAATGTGAATTCCTGCAGTCACGAAAGCTTTAAGTCGAGATGAAACACACTGATATTTCTTGATGCTTTTGGAAGGAAATATAAATTTGGTTCCACTATATTTGTTCTGAAATGTTAAATGTACTGCCTGATTTAAACGCTTACATGGAATGGCTTGATCGTTTAAATGACATTATAGTCATTAATGCCTACTTTACAGTAGCCAGCATTCAAAGGTAATTCCCCCACACAAATGACAAGGAAGTTATGGTAGAAATCTCACCATTGTCTTAAAGCATACTGTTCAACCAATGAAAATCCCAAACCACTGATAGATAATGTTAAATGTTTTCGACGTTGATTTACTGCGGTACAAATAGGACTCGACTATTACGCTTTTACTGTGATAGTTAAATGAGGCTTCTGTTATTTATAAAAAAAAAAACACCGGTTTGACTTGTACGATATTCATGTGCTGAGCGCGTATTACAGTAAACCATTACTTAAGCGTAATTTAATCAACCATACACATGATGAACTGGTTAATTTATTTTTAAACGTCGGGATTAAGTTGTACTTACATTTTTTGTAATTGATGCCGAATCATCCCCCGCCCTCAGCCCGTTTGTTCCTGGACCTTTCCCCACCATCCTCCTCCCCCTTACTTCACCGCTGATCTAATTGATTTTTTTATAAGGTTGATAAACTACCAAAATTGCTTGTTTGTAACAAAGGTTTGTTCGCTTAATGAGGTTCAATTTGCAGTGTACTGATTTTGATTTGTAATTACCATACCTTTGTAGAAATAAATAGGTTAAAGCACAATTGAGAATGAATTACTTGAAGAACAACAACTTATAGTATCAATATTAGCAACACACCTTACAAATAGCATAGTTACCCGTGCATTACAAATGTAAATGTGCCATATACATCACACCAGATATATTAGGGCGAGCCACCATGAATTACTCTTAACGCAGGCAATTACTTGACTGTCACTCATGTATGTGTGTTGAACTTCTTTCACACCATACAGAGCCAACCGTGCTAATCGGAGGTGGATAAGAAATATTTTAAAACTTGCTTGCAATCAATCATACTTTCAAAGCCAACATCTTAATTGTTTTCCCTAATATGTTTGACTTTTCCAGTTTTATTAAATTTGTACTTTTGACATCATGCTATGCAACAATGTTTCCATTTGTATTATTTGGGTCTTTCGGTAAAGTCACGTAGATAGGTTCCACCTGATGACGGCCGCTTATGTTGCGTAGTTTTTTGTTTATCTTATTTTTTGAACCTATCTACGTGACTTTACAGAAAGACCCAAAATAATATGAATTCCTGCAGTCACGAAAGCTTTAAGCCAATTATTCTTTGGTTCTTTCGGTAAAGTCACGTATAAAGATAAAATAATAAAATAATATTATTTTATCTTTAAACGTGACTTTACCGAAAGAACCAAAGAATAATTCCTGCAGTCACGAAAGCTCCAAAATTAGGATTCTTTAAGCCAATGTTTCCATTCATCACTCTCACAGAGCAGTGCATCACCCTTTGTGTTACAACATCGCCCAGCATAGGAGATAACACAGATATTCTTTTGAGAGCAGAGAGCCCTTCAAGTGACCTTTTTTATCCACACGTTAGAGGGTGCATGTTCCCACATGCCCTGCTAAAGTGAAATGTTAATCGGATGGCAGTCAAACCAATACGTTTTTTTTTATTTGCCAGAGCGGCAGTTTAGCTGGTATGTCAGTGAAAAATGCGACGGTTGTTGTGTGCATTCATTGGTGACCAGATTGGACTCGCTACACACGAGAATAGCATTTAGAATCACATGCACTTTCCCAGATTCAAGCTCAGGATATCAGTGGTGCTAATTCAAGACTCTGGTGACCTGTTTATTTTTCATTATTTAAAAATTTCCGACACAGATGGCACAAGAATACCGCTATGCACACCAGCCCGAGACTCTTCAGACTTAATCCACAAATTAAAGAGAGGTGAAGGGAGGGGGGGGGGGTTTGGCAAAATGTGGACCCAAAACACAGAGCCATTTCCTCCTCACTATGCGGAAACAGTCCTCTCTCATCAGAATAGTTCTGAAAATATGTGGAACAATTCCACACAGCACCAGCACACTGACACTTGGCAATATTCCCACACCTCTGCCCCTCACATACTGGGCACATCTGCTGAGCAAACATAAATCATATCATAATCTCATCATAAGTTTGCCATAATGTGTTTCGTGTAAAACTTTCCATCGAGGTACGTCCTGGCCAACTCGTGCATTGCACACCAATAATCTCTTTTACATACTACCGCACTGTGTTCTCTTTTTGCCGTGAACATCTTTGAGTCATACATTCTATGCCTGTCTGCAATTCTTCCAGATAAGCTTCGGTAAATTGAGTTTTAATAGAATTGTATCCGATTAGTCGTGACATCCACATATTGGTGATGTTGTCTCTTTAATTATTTCTGTCGTATTTCGTGTTACTTTTGAGGCCGCTTTATTTTACCACGTCCTACATCTTTTTAGTTTCATTTGGTTTCGGTTTTTTCTCGAGTGAAATGCTTTACGATACGTCTTATTGTATTTGTAGCTGACGTCTTTTTTACTTCATAGGATCTCAAGTGGTTCTAAACATAACGTGATGATTATTGATGTAACTTTAACTCAAGCAACAAACTTGCTGTGCTTGGATCATGTGTTGGAGAAAACAGACTCTCTTACAACTATTGGCATGACCATACACTAAACTATTCAAATTCTTTTTTTTTACCAGGTACGGCCAATTGAGCTATAAAGCTCTATTTCAGAAGCGACCTGGCCACAAATGATAGCTCAATTAAGTGGCTTATCACGTGGAAATGTATTGCTGCCAAATACTGTAAACACATGTTGATTCTAAATATAAAGTTTCATATTACATACAAATGTAAAACGAAACTTACTCGTTAAATTGATATCGATAAATTAATTATATGATCACATTCATTGTCTTTATGACAGGTATATACCGAAGCAATTGTACAAACATTGTGCATATTGACTCACAAACTCAAGTAACATATGCACACATGCATGCATGCACACACAGACAAATATGCTGCTGATGCATTGAGTTTAAATTATCACTACGGAGAGCATGCTGAAGATAGAAAAGAAAAACTACTGAAAGAAATATTTTAACCAAACTAAAAATATATATTTTAATTTTTACCAAGTAAGGCCCATTGAGCTTCATAGCTCCTGTTGAGAATTGACCTGGCCAGAAATGATAGCTCAACAAAGTGGCTTATCATGTGGAAATGTGTAGCAGCCAAATACTCTAAACGCATGTTCCTAAATGTGGAGGGAAAAGCCGGAGGACCTGGAGAAAAATCAACGCGACCACAGGGAGAACATGCAAACTTCAGATATACAGGCATCAGGGTTGAGATCAAACCCGTGACTTCCCGTATGTCAGACAAGGCATTTAATATCTCGCCACCGTGGCGCCCAATGATATTGGGAATAACTGAGCAAAGTTTGTTCTTCAAGCATACAAATGATTTCCATTATAAATATGAAGTAACTTCTATTCTGACATTTCACCTGTTGGAAACCCGCGTGGGGCTAGCACGGAATTGAGACGGAATTAACGATGATCAAATGTTTACAAATAACCGGGGCTAAGTTTGTGCTCAGTATGGTGTGTGCAGATAAGATGTGGCAAGCCTTTCACACACAATGCATATGCATACATTTAGTGGGGTTCTCACCAATTAGCGGTGATATCCTGGCAAAATATTGCATTACCTTGCCGTTGATACGAACTATTTTCTGTCCAGGTGGATTGAATTTACACCTGGTACAGAGTTTTTGCCGGTGAAAGAGTAAGACATTTGATTTATATGCTCCTCAACAGAGCTGTTGGTGTGAAACTTTTATAAACCCACACATTTATAAAGAGCATCCATGTTCTTATAGTGCACAGGAATCGAGCTCGGGTCACTGGGTCCATAGTGCAGTGTGCTAATCACGGCACCACCACTACTGTCAGTGGTAAGCGATGTGATTGATATCTGAAGAGGTCTTGGGACTCACTTCACTCACCCACATCAATCACTGTGGTGAATATTGCACAAACATCTCACATGACTGACGTGCTGGGGAGGCCTCCATCCTGTAGTGCATTGTCAGAGGGCTGAAAATTAATTATAGATTTGAAGTTTTCGTGACTGCAAGGGTCCATACTCTTTGGTTTTTTCTGTAAAGTCACGTAGGTAAAAAAAGAAAATAAATTAAATCACGACGTTTCGGAGGCAACACAAGCTTCCGTCTTCAGGTGGAACCGTCACAGCAAAATTACTGTATACAGTAATTACAGTCAAGTTAGTTTGCATCATTGTTATTTCTGAAGCGCATCTCATCATCTAAATGGCTATACTTTATCCATCGAGCAACCATTTTCCACAGTCAGCACTCACGCTGAATACATTGATGCCACCAACTCAACTACACAGGTCACAAGGTACCCCGGCAAGTTCAAATATTTTTAATACAAAGTTGTTGGTGATGCATCTATGAACTCTACTTGAGGTTGCACACCATTGAATTGTCACTACCCTGAAGTGTTGTTTGCGGGAATCCGTCTTTTTTTTCACGTACAAATGTCAATCCACTGCTGAACGAAGGCTTCCCCATATTGTATCGGTAATGGGGATTGTTTGACCATATTTCACCACAC